CCTCTTTTGTTCGTCGCCAGACTGGCGCGATCTAGTTCCAAAAGTGCTGCGCTGCACGGCCGCCTTTAGCCTCTGTGCTGACAGGACGAGGAGGAGGAGGAAGACAAGGGAGATGACGAGCAGGAGGAGGAGGAGGAGGGGCAAGAGGAGGGCGGAGGCGAAAGAGGATGAGGTGGAAGAGGAGGGGGGGCTCTGTCTGCCAGTCTGCGCGGTGCTTCTAAGCCTGCAGGTTTGCTTCGTTTTCCGCTTCTGTTCGCCGCCGGACCGGCGTGATCTAGTTCCAAAAGTGATGCGCTGCACGACCGCGTTCAGCTTCTCTGCTGAAGAGGACGAGGAGGGGGAGGAAGAGAAGGGAGAGGACGAGCAGGAGGATAAGGAGGAAAAGGAAGAGGAGGGCGGAGGTGGAGGAAGATGAGGTGGAAGAGGAGGGGGGCCTCTGTCTCTGAGTCTCTGTGGTGCTTTTAAGCCGGCAGGGTTGCCACGCTTGTTCGCTTGTGATCGCCGCCATACTGGCGCGATCTTCGAGAAGACGAACAGGAGAGGTGGCGGATCCAACTCTCCATACCCGCTGTGCTTGTCAGCCTGCAGTATTGGAAGACTACTTCCAAAGGTCACGATCTGCTCGGCCGCGTTGGCACGGTGCCCGCGAGTGTCTGCGATGCTGCTTAGCTTGCAGCTTTTGCCCGTTTTCTCGCTCCGTACGCTGCACTCATTTGTGCTCCTCGTGCGTGTCCGAAAAGAACACTTCGAAAGAACGCAGCCATCAAACGCAGCATTCATTGATACATAAGCTTTACTTTAAACAATCATGGTCATCATCACATCATCCACTTCAAACGCTTCCGTGAGCACGCAGTGAACGTAGATACCAGAGTCTCATTTGAAACTGCATTCGTTGATACCGAGTGCTTGTTTAAACTCACATCCGTCGATTGCAGACTTTGATGCAAAAGTCTACAATGAGAGTCCGAGTTGAATATTAATGAAATAGCCATCTGAATCTAAATGATGGTGCACACATATATGCTTTTACACATCGCTGTTCGGTTGCTTTGCTGGGATAATTTGATTTTTCGTTTGAAATGCGCCTGTAGGGGGACATGCCCGACCTAGGTGTACCTTCTCAATTCTAGACGCTTCGCGTATCCCCACCAGCCCGTCCAGCAACGACGCCCAGGCGAGTAGAGGGTCGTCCTGAGGGGCTTTTCGGCGTCTTGGGTGTCTCGGGGGGGCCTCTGTGGGCCGTTCGGGATCCTCTTTGGGGCCTCCCGGGGGCCTCTTGGAGCCTCTTGGGGCCATCTTGGGGCCTTTGGGGGCCTCCTGGGCGCTTTTTGGGGCTCCTGGGCGCTTCTTGGGTGCGTCTGGGGGGTCTCTTGGGGGCCTCCTGGGGGTCTCTTGGGGGCCTCCTGGGGGCCTCTTGGGGGGCCTCGGAGCCATCTTGGAGGAGATCGATCAACGAAGGGGGGTTCACTAATTACAGTCCCCCCCTCAGGAGCCACGATCCTCGTGTGGGGTGTCGAATTTTAGCCCTCCCAGGGGTCGATCTTGGGCGCTCCAGCGCGCCGCGGAACCCCCTGTCCAGGTCAGTGGGGAGGGGGTAGGGGGAGGGGCAAACCCCTCCCCGAAGGGGAAGAAGGAGGGGTGGAAGAGGAAACGCTCTAAACCACCGACGCCCAGAGGGCTGGTGGGATTCCGTCTTGAGCGTCGATTTGTGTCGATCGGCGTCTGGAGTCGATGGGGTAACCCCGCTTTCGTTTCGGTTAGCGTCGACCAGCGTCGATGAGCGTCGATTTAGCAACGACCAGCGTCGATTCGCAAGAGCCGACAAGATGGCGAGGAACCCGGGCAGAGTAGGTGGCGAGCGGGGGGGGGAAGTAAGAAGGAACAGAGGCTTTTTCAGAAGGCGGCGGGGCTTCTCAGAAAGAGTCCCCGGCCTTCTGGGGGAGGCTTTCTGTGTCTCCGGGAAGGCTTAGAAACATTTCTCAGGTAATTCCCCATCCAGCTAGCTGAACGGGGTTCTGTTGTGATAGAAGCTAATTCCGGCCGAGGAAATTCAAAGCAGAGACGTCCTCAAAAACATGTGGTGGTCCGGGCCGTTTTGCCTGAGACATCCTCGCAACTCTCGTTTCTGAGTTGTCCGGGATTGGGCGTTCCGCGTGAGACATTCTCCAAACTCTGACTTCCCAAATGCCGTGCAAGAGGTGGTCCGGCCCGTTTCACGTGAGACATCCTCGAATCTCTGAGCTCCCAGATGCCGCGCGAGAGGTGGTCCGGCCCGTTTCACTTGAGACATCCTCGAAGCTCTGAGCCCCCAGATGCCGCGCGAGAGGTGGTCTGGCCCGCATCGCCTGAGACATCCCCCGAACTCTGAGCTCTGAGATGCCGTGCGCGAGGTGGTCCGTCGCGTTTCGCCTGAGACATCCTCGTAACTCTGAATTCTGAGATGCCGCGCAAGAGGTGGTCCGGCCCATGTCGCCTGAGACATCCTCGAAACTCTGGGCTCCGAGATGCCGCGCAAGAGGTGGTCCGGCCCGCTTCGCCTGAGACATCCTCCAAACTCTGAGCCCTGATATGCTGTGCGCGAGGTGGTTTGGCTTGTTTTGCGTGAGACATCCTCGCAACTCTGCGCTCTCTGATGCCGCGCGAAAGGTGGTCCGGCCCGTTTCGCTTGAGACATCCTCCAAACTCTGAGCCCCGAGATGCCGCCCAAGAGGTGGTCCCGCCCGTTTCACTTGAGACCTCCTTGCACTTTTGCATTCCGAGATGCCGCGCGAAAGGTGGTCCGGCCCGTTTCGTCTGAGACGTCCTCCAAACTCTGAGCCCCGAGATGCCGCCCAAGAGGTGGTCCAGCCTGGGGGCCCAGAAGACCACATGTTACAGATCCCCCCTGGAAACCTGGGAGCCCCAGGAGGCCCCAGAGAGCTCAGGAGGCCGCAAGACGCCCAGGACAGGCCCCAGGAGTCCCAGGAGATTCCCAGGAGGCTCCCAGGAGGCCCCCTATCAGAACGTGCCAAGTTAATCCACATCCGGTGCCGATTTGTTGATTTTTCCTGCTCTTGTGCCCCCCCCTTATTTTGGAGGGCCCAGACGGCCACATATTAGGTATCCCCCCCTGGGAGCCCCAAGAGGCTTCAGGAAGCCTCAGGTGGGGCCCAGGAGGCCACAGGAGGAGGCCCCAGGAGACCCCAGGAGGCCCCCGCAACTCGGAGCTCTGAGACGCCGCGTTTGAAGTGGTCTTGCCCGTTTCGCCTGAGACTTCCTCGCAGCACGTTTCGCCCGAGACATCGTCGGAACTCTTGGGTCGGAGATGCCGCGCGCGAGGCCGCACTGGCACGTCATGTTCTAACATGCCATGCCAGCCCGCACTGGACGGGCACGCAATCGACCTTGGAAACCGCAGTGGGTTTAAAAACCCTGTTTGGGGATACTGCACTCTGGCTATAATCTTTTTTATTCCTCGTTTTGCCGATCGGCGCGGGTCCTCGCCCCCCCCCCCTCCCCCCCCCCCCGGTGGAGTGGATCTGGGCTGTTTTTGGCGCCTGTTTCGAGCAGGCGGGGTCCCTCCCCCATCGGCCGCACTGCTGCACTGCTGCAAACAGTCGCACTAAGCAGAGGTCCGGAGCCAGACCCCCTTCCCCTTCCCCCCTTTTCCGCCCACTGTCGAAACGCCGAATAATTATCCTGGCGAAGGATCTACCATATGCAGTTGTGGGTACCGCAATTGTGAATGTCTTCTTCGGTGAAGCTCCTTATGGGGCCACGAAGCGCTGCACTGGGTGGGGGGGAACGCGTGCGGGCGATAGCACTGGGGCCGTCGGTGGAGCTCCATATTGGGCCACGAAGCGTTGTAGAGGGTGGGCGAAAATGGCAAATTAGGTGTGTGGGACGAATGCAGATGGTCCCACTGGGGGCGTCGGTGGAGCTCCCTATGGGGCCACGAAATGTTGCGCTGGGTGGGTGAAATTGCCAAATTGGGTGTGTGGGACGCATGCGGGCTGTCCCACTGGAGGCTTCTGTTTTGACTCTGCTTCATGTTTACTCCAAAATCCGCCTGCAGGGGGACACGCCCGACCTAACGCTTCCCTCGTTCTCCCCCTTCTGTTGGCCTCCTGGGAGACCCTCGTCGTCGCCGCCGGATTCGCTTCGGAATCCTGGTCAGCACGCGCCCCAAGAGAGGCCGATGTCAACAAGAGCGCCGCAGCTGGACCGAGGTATCCGATCGAGGTCGGCTCGGGTGGGGCACCCTAGTGTTTGGACAGTGGAGAACCGACCCCGGCTCCAGCAAAACATCGTATTTTGCATGTCAGCATTTTGCAGGTGTGGCGAATGTGTACAAGTGTAGGCGCCTTGTAGGCGAGGCCATTGCCAGCTGCCGCAGGGGGGGAGGGCCCGCGCGCGCGCGGTGGGAGGGCCGTTGCCAGCTGCCGCAGTTGGCATAAAGTTCCTCGTGTGGGAGGGCGGGGGGCGGCTTTCATGCGTTCAGTGTTTGTTCGTGCTTGCTGGACGTTCTTGTTCGTCCTGGGGAGGGTACCCTGGGATGCTCTGTGTGCTTTGGCCAGCGGAGGGTCTCGTTGCCTTGCAGGATGCTCTTTTGGCCTGGGTCCGACTGTGCCTCAGATGCCCTGACACGCCCGTCCTGAAACGCAACACGTGCCGTGCTCCAAACGCACGTGTGAGCATTTTGCGAGTCGGTCCACGCGGCGGTTTTTTGCAATCCTTCGGGGTTTTTTGCAATCCTACGGGTTTTTTTTGCAATCCTTCGGGTTTTTCTGCAATCCTGGGTTTTTTTGCAATCCCGCGTATCGCGACGGACCTACGTTTCCAGTATACGTGCTGCGTGCTGCGTGTCGCGTGCTGCGTACCAGGGCAGCTAAGACCGCTATCCTTCCCTCGGCTGTCCCCCTTTGGGGCTGCTGGGAGGCCCTCGCCGCCACGGCGGGATTAGCCCCGATGTGCTTGTCAGAACGCACCCCGGGAGGACGGCACTTCGACCTCCCCAGGAGCTCTCTGGCCAGCTGGACACCCTGGACGCGTTCGGCGCGCACCTCTGCGTGCTGTCCGAGCTGAACTTCGCGGTGCTGGAGCAGCAGGCGGGACTCCGCGAGACCTTCCGGCTCTGCGAGGTGGTGTCGTTGCACGGCTTCCAGACGGAAGGCACGCTGCAGAGGGAGGCCGCCGTGGCCAGCAGGGAATTCGAGGTCTTGAAGGCGTTCATCTCTGAGAAGTACACCGGGTCAGAGCAGCTGCAGCGCAGCTTTGCGCGGGAGCTTAGCGAAGGCAGGGCGGCCATGGAGGAGCGCTGCGCCGAGCTCCGCGGGGAGGCCTGCGACGAGAGGATGCTGCGGCCACCTCCAATCGCGCAAGAGCCGCAAGAGGTTGTCGTTCGGAGAATGTTGCGCGTCACCATTGTCAGCGCACGGGGTTTTCACGCCGCGGATGGGCAGAGAAAGAGCAGGAGCATGAGCCAGTCTAGGGAGGTCCTCGATCTTTATTGTGCATGCGAGATTGAGGGCAAGCCCGAGACCCTCTTTCATACTGAGGTGGCAAGGGAGACAATCTATCCTGTCTGGGGCCACCAGGGTGAATGGATCCCGTACGAGCCCGGCGATGTCCTCCGCATCAGGGTGCTCAGCAAAGACGATGGGGAGGACCATGAGTTTGGGTCCGCCGACCTGGCGAGCTTCGAATTTGAGGATGCCGGGTTCGAGGGCGAGCGAGAGCTGTGTGGGCCAGAAGGTCGCACCGAAGCCTTCTTGGACCTTGCCGTCCACGTCGACGAGACCCCCATGGAGGTCTCGGGCTCGGCTTTTCCGCACGTGCCCCCCCCACACACCACCACCGTGCCTGGCCAGGGCCATTCTCAGCCCCAGGGCGGCGCGCAGACCCTCCAGACCTCGGCCAGGAGTGCGTGCACACACGCCGTGCCGGGGCCCGGCACGACCCAGGCCAGGCCTCGGTGCGTGCCCCCGGAGGTGCACGACAGAGACACGAGCCCGGCCGAGGCGCGGCCGATCGCGGGGCCCGAGGACCTCGCGGACGGCCTCGCCGCCGTCGAGAGGCTGTGGTCCCGGTGCCAGGACCTGTTATAGACAGCAAGTCACAGAAGCTTGCTCCAGTCTTCGGTTGACCGCATATCGGCGAATAGCGCCACAGAGCGCCGGATGGCGCCTGGCAGCGCCGAATCGTCTCCAAACGGCGCCGAATGGGTCCGAAATGGCGCCCCACAGCGCCCAGTGGCTATGCGTTCACGTTGCACGCGATTGGGCGCGCCATGGGGCTCCACGTGAGCGACGGAAGAAACGGCGTCGACTGCGCCGACATTCGCGCCCAAGCTCCCCGCCCAGCGTCACGCGTGAGCGCCCCCTCGTTTCCAAAGTAGCGTGCTGCGCTGGCGGCCCGCGTAAGCCACGACGTTGGGTGACTAGACCATCTTCGGCAAGACCCGTGTGTCCTCGTTGCTCACGTGGACGACCACAATCGGACACGCCCATGGACGCGGATAGATCCGTGCCAGGGCGTTCCAGAACGCTCTCAGGGCGTGCCGGGAACGCTCTGAGAAGGCCGTGGGGGCCGTGGCTAGACATTTTCCAAAGCCGCCGGAGTTCAGAGATTCTCGGCTTATTCCTCACCCGATGGTATCCTCGTCCTGGCTTCGCTTGGCACGAATTTCCGCGAGCTGATCTCTGCCCAGGACCTGCGTGCCGCGTGGGTCGAGCTCAACGAGCGGGCTGGGAGGATCGGTCTCGGGGCCTAGCCTCCCCGGGCGCCGCGCACAGGGCGGGGGTAGGAGGCTGTCTCGTCGTGTGCTGGCGCTTGCGCGAGTACGGTCGGACCGAGGTATGATCGACCACGCGCAGAGGGGGGTGGGGGGAGGGGGGAAGGCTTCTTAGAAGCACCCCTGCTTCTTAGAAGACGCGGGCCTTCTGTTTAGATGCAAGGCCGGCGCCTTCTAAGAAGCAGCCTCCTTCCTAGAAGCCTCATCCCCTCCCCTTACCCCCCTCTGCGCGCCGCCAATATAAGGTCGAGATCGCTTTGGGGAGGGGACCCTAGTGTTCGAACAGTGGAAAATGCCGACCCCAGCCCCACCAACAATGCGTTCTAGATGTCAACGTTTGGGATGCTCTTGTGCATCCTGGGGGGGATGACCCTCAGACGTTCTGCTACTACATTGGCCGACCGGTGGTCTCATATTCATGAAGGGTGTCCTTCTACTGACTTGGTCCAGCTGTGCTGTGGCGATCGCAGTTCACCTCCAGACTGGCGCGCCCGAGCGTTACATAGCCCTCCCCCCCTTCCCGGGTAACGACTGGTATCGGGAGCAAGAAGGAGTGGGTTTTGTGGACGCTGGGAAGGAGGGGCGGTCGAACCAGGGCCCCTCCGCCCTGAAATGCAAGGGGGGGTTCGAACTGGGAGAGGTTCGAACAGGGCAGGCCTCCCCCCTGGGTTGCAAGCGGGGGGGGCGTTCGTTCGAAACGGCCCCACCCCCCATGAGTTGCAAGGGGAGGGCGTTCGTTCGAAACGGCGACGGCGACGGCGGCGGCAACAGGGACGACGACAACGGCCCTCCCCCCCCGAGTGCAAGGGGGGTTCGAACCAGGGGGGGCCTCCCTTGGGCAGCGACGACGACGACGATGAAGACGTCGACCACGTCGACGACGACGACGACGACGACGACGACGGCTTCGGCGTCGGCGACGGCGACGGCCATGGCGACGGCCACCGCTACGGCGACCGGGACGGCGACGGCGACGGCTACGGCGACGGCGACGGAGACGACGACGACGCGCACATGCCCCTCCTCCCCTCCGAGTTGCAGGGGGCAGGGGTTCGAACCGGGGTTGCCCCCCCTGCAACCAACGATGGCGAGCGCCAGCGCTGGCACCGTCGGGCAGCGAGGACGACGACGATGACGACGACGACCGTGGTGTTTCGCGGTGTCCCCTGGCATTGTATGCTATGAGTATCATGTTTCTCAGAAGGAAGAGCGCGCGTGCAAATGCATGACACCTGGTTCCGCTTGTTGCCCCGATGTTTTTGTTGGTTGGTCTCTCGACAAATGTGGTACGGACAAACAGATTGCCCTGTACGTACGTAGTACGTCCTAATTAAATGGGGGAGCGGGCAAGTCAATGCCACCAAGTTCCGCTGGTTGCCCCGATGATTCCCGTTGGATGTCCCGCTCGATTAATACATGGACAAGCGAACCCTGCTCACCCTGCAGACCGCCGGCCCGATTTGTGCTCCCTGGGGATGAAGCGCAGCCTGACACTTCCGCGGCCGATGGAGCGCGCTGCTGTTGCTGTAGGAGGTCGCGGGGGCTATCCACGAGGGGCAGCGGACTTGGCATTGGACGGTCTTCGGCTGTCACTCGGCGCCAACATCGGTCCCGTTGGGGGTTACCAAAAAACTTGTGTTCCCCGGAGATCCCGCCGCGCGTCCTCGGCGAACGGCGATGGCATGTTGCGGCCGCCAAGCCCAATGAGTGCCGGTGCTCCGCGAGGTTCGGCCTCGCGTTCTCGGGCCCAGGCCGCTGAGGTACAGTGGAGACCCATGCCAAGAAACACCTTGCTTGCTTCGGCCTGTCGGAAGCGCGACGTTCCCACACCAAAATGTCAATGGACGTCCTGGGGTCTCAGGGTTGGGTTTCTCGTGGAAGGTTTCTTGTGGGCTTGCCTCCACTGCAATGATGCTGTCACGGGGTGGACCCCCAGCGATCTGGACCCCTTCCCCGAGGCCGGCTTTTCATCCTCAGTCGCTCTTCCCTACCAGCGCGTTGCAACAAGATTCTGCCAGACGGCAGAACAGCGAGGAACCACAAGAGGAGTCCCACGTGGGGGCACGGGGAGCCCCAGGCCGCCCGGCCTGGCGGCGATGCGGCAGCCGTGGTGCCCCAGGTGCCTCCGCAGTTGACCCAGGGCTCGCGCTCTCGCCCGGATGTCGGCGTCGCCGCATGCGCCCACACTTTTTTTTGGGCGGGGCGAGAGCGAACCTCTTCCGCCAAAAGGTAGGCGGGCTACGCGCAGCTTTAATTAGGGAGACAGGGCACAGGAGAACGGGGCCTCAGGCGGCCGGAGCGGGCGGAGCCCGGGGTGCAGGCGGTGCCGAAGAGCTTGCACAGGAAAAGGTACGCCGCGAACAGGGACCGGAGGCGAAGACCCGGAGGGCGAGCGATGTGATGTTGCCGTCAATGGCACGTCGCGAACACCAGCCTCAAGCATTGCAGAGGACCGCATGCGCCCACACGTGAGAATGACCTTTCGCCGAAGTGACCTTTGGTGCGGGCACAATGGGGTCCCCCGATCACCGAGTGCGATACGATAGTAGCGTCTCGCGCGCCTGAGTTTGGTCCCCCCGCGGCCCCCCAAAAGCCGCGCACCAAAGGTCACTCTTACCCAGGGTCGCTCTTGCGTGTAGCCGACGCATGCGCCCAGCACTCGGTCCTCCGTGCCTCGACGCTCCGACCGGCGGCATATGACGTCCGCGCTGTCGCCGCGGGCGCCAGCGGCGAGCGGGCGGGACGGGCGATCGACGGGCGTTCCCCTGTAGATTCAGGCAAGGGTCCCTGCATGGCATTTCTCTCCCCCCTCCCCCACCCTTTCTCCGCCGCCTCTGCATACAATGCTTGACAAAAGAGGAGTGCTGCAGAGTGAGTCCCCGCTTGCGTGGGGTCCAGATCCCCTTCCGGGGGCCCCACCGCGCCGCCCCCCGCGCCCCCCCTCCATGCAAGAGAGCTTGCCCGATGTTTTTGGGGAAAGCAAAAACAGGCTCCTGCCCCTCCCTACCTCGACGCCTCCCTGGCTCCTGCCGAAGCCCCCGTGGACGGCGGTGCCGCCGTCGCGGGCGCCCGCGGGGCAAGCGGGCGCGGCGGACGATCGACGAGCGATGGTGCGAGCGGAGAAAGGGAGGGGGCCGACAGACAACTCGCCACCGCCTCGCCCCCGACCAGCCGCGCCTCCCCAGTAATCGACGCCATGAGCATAAACTTGTGGCCTTCCGCGCGCATTTCTTGTATCTGCACCGGGGCCCCCTTGGCGGCGCCTCCAGCGCCGACTCCAGCGCGCTCCGCACGCCAGGGGGGGGTGCCCAGCGCAGATCCAAGAAGTCCGCCCAGAGCGCCAAAAGTTTCTGTTTCTGTCCTTTCTCCTCGAAAGCAAAGCTCGCGATGGGGAGCATGCGGGCCGGACCACCGGACCCCCGTCGCTCACGACGCGGACCCCCAGAGGTGCGCTCCCCGTCCCCGGGTCCGGCCCCGTCCCCGGGGGACTGGTTCTGGGACGTGCCCAGTGCCCCGTGAGGGCCCCCGGAGGCCGAGAAGGATCCACAGCCGTCCGTCGTGATTTCTACTCGGCCTGAGGGGGTCCCGTCGGGTGGTATCCGTTCCGCAGCGTTCCGCAACGCTCTCGGAGCGTTCCCCGCCGCCGATACGCCTTCCAGGGCCGCCAGATCCCAGAGATTCTCGAGCCATCCTCACCCGATGTTATCCTCGTCTCGGCTTCGTCTGTGTGTTTGGGGGGTGCGGCTCGCTACCTCCGCCCCCTCTTTCGGCCGCGTCCTCCTCCTGCTCCCTCTCTTTTTTATGGTGGCGCAACTTGCCCTCACGGCACCCACGTTTAGGCCATTCCGCTAGCGCAGATTTCCCCTGCCTCGCCGCCGACGCAACAAGAATGTGTTCGAGGGTGGGGGTCGCTTGCAGTTGTTTCTCGGATCGCCTGCGCGAGAGGCCCACGAGCAGGGATCGACCTAAGCCTGAGCGGTGTGTTCTGGCGATTTCGTGGGCCGCTTTCGTTTCGATCTCGCTTTGCAGCGAGGGCGGGATTGAAGACAGAACGGGGGGGAAAGCGAACACAGAGCGAAAGCGAGAAGCACTTTTTAGGTCGAGCCCTGCCTCCGATCGCCTCCTGCGCCGAGGGCTGCACAGCACCCCGTCGCCGGCGCTGGACGAGCTCGAGGCCGCGGTGAGCAGCCGCCGCGCGCTGTGGGAGGTGGCCCTGCAGTGCGAGGCGCACTTCGCGCGCTGGACGCGTCTTCCGAGGGGGCCCACGCAGGGCTCACTTCGATTCCAGGAGGAGGAGGAGCAGGAGAAGGAGGAGGAGGAGGGATTCGATGTCGGTTCGGTTCGGCTTTGGATTCCGATCTAAGCTCCGATTCCTCCATGGAGCCTGCCGATCTCCCCCGATTCGACGTCTCCCGACTCGGCTGCCGATCTCCGCCGATCCGATTCATGCCGGTCGCCGATCCCATGTATCGATTCGATTCTGGGCTCTCCTGCCCACGCTGCTGTTCGTCAGGAGACCCCCTCCCGCTGCCAACAGAATCACGACGAGAGGGTTTTCGCTATTTGCGGCCTCTGGGGTCCCTCGCCGGGCCTCGGGACCGTCCAACCAAAACGCCTCAGGATGAAAAATTGGTCTTGGGGACGGAGTCTACGGTTGGTTTGCGTCGTGTCGACCAGCGGCGACCCCAGCGTGGGCGTTCAAGGTTGAACGCCGCTGGCGACCCAGAATCGATCGACGTTGAACGATCGGACGTTGCGGCAGCGGCCGATCGTTCAAGGTTGAACGATCCCTGCGGTGTCAAAAACCAACGCTGGGGTCGGCACGACACGAACCTGCCGTAGACCTCTGGCGGTCGCCGCTGCGAACAGAAATCAGGACGGTGGGGGTCTGGGAAGGAAGGAGCCCAGACGTGCTCGCGCCATGGCAGAACCAGGACGGGAGGGTCTTCATCCGTTTCGGCCGCGGGGGGGCCTTCGGCGGGCCCCAGGGCCGTCAGCAAGGACGGCGCAGGAGGAGCAGCCGGTTACGGGGAATCCGTGGCCATGTTGGCTCAGGCTTAAAACTACCGTCGTAGCCAAGACCTTCTCACAGAAACTTTGGGCCCCCAGTCTGCATCACGCGTTCCGCTGCGGGTGCGCTGCTGCTCGCGTGCGTCCTTCCGTCCTTGGCCCTTGGCTGCCGAGTCTCTGAGAGGGAAAGTCGCCTTCATCACCGGGCGTCGAGCGGCATTGGCAGTGGTGGTCCTGACGGTCCTGCGAGAGGGCAGCCTAGCTGCAGTTATGGGGAGCATCAAGACGTCAGGTGGAGAGGCCATGTACGTTGGTTGCGATGTTGCCTGCCAACGGCACGTCCGTCTAGACAGAGTGCATTCCAAGCCGCGCTGCCGTGGACACGTATGGAGAGATATGCTTCGTGCTCGCCAATGCAGGCGTCGAGGGGGGCACCCTGACGCACGAATTGAGCGACGTGGAGCCATGGCAACATATCATCCCTTCTCTTGATTTACGACGTAGGCGCCATCGAGACAATGAAGCACGCCGTGAAGGCATTCGAACCGCGCAGGGGCGGGACGATTGCTATCAGCAGCTCCATCGCCGACCACTGCGCGGCTATGTGCGTTGCGGCGGTGAACGCAGTAGGAGCGGCCAGGGGTTCGCTGATCCCCTACCTCACTTCGAATTCGAGCGTGCACATGGTAGCGGGCACTGCCCACGGCTCTTACGCCGAAGAGGGCGTCAAGGTTTACAATTTCAACTTAGCTGTGTTTGAAAGCGGAATTGCCGGTCGCCTGGGCTTCAACAAGAAGTCAGATCAAGTTGCTTCCAACACGATCGACAAGACCAAAGTTGGGGACCCCATCCACATTGCCGAGGTCCTTGTAGATCATTGCTGCCATACTGGATGGCCATTCGAAGTGGCCTGCTGGCATTTCGATCTATATCGAACATGACATGATGGTGCACTCCAGGTATTCTTCCGACAAGCGCCAGGACCCGGGCCCACACAGCTCATTGGGTCGCGTTCTCAAGATGAGTTGAAGACGGTGGCAATGGATGTGAAGGGAGCGCCCCACAATTTGAAGGGTGATGTTCACGGGATTGGGGCCCAGCAGTGACCATCCAGCGTATAGTTGCTCGGCAGCAGATCTCTCAGATCTCTGTCGGCTGTTTCTCTTCCTCATCCTCTTCCTCTTTCCCCACGCACAGGCAGGGATGCCAGCCAGCATCACTGCGGATAACTTCCGGCACTGGAAGCTCGCACGCGGCACCGAACCTTGCTTTTGGTGCTGCTTCGAGCACGGGCAATGCCGCCAGTGAGCATCACGGCGATTCAGTTCTAGCACAGGGCGCCGAGCCTTGTTTGTTGGCCGTTCCGAGCACGGGCAAGGCCGCCAGCGAGCACCACTGCGGTTCATTTTGGGTACTGGATGCTCACACGCTGCGCCGAACCTTGTTGTTGTTGTTGTTGCTGCTGTTGTTGCTGCTGTTGTCGTTGTTGTTGCTGTTGCTGTTGTTGTTGCTGTTGATATTGTTGTGCTGGTTTGGTTGTTGTGGTTGCCGTTGTTGTTGTCGTCGTTGTTGTTGTTGTTGGTGTTGTTGTTGGTGGTGTTGTTGTCGTTATTTCCGTTGTTGATGTTGTTGCTGCTGTTGTTGTTTGGCCGCTTCGAGCACAGGCAAGGCCGCCAGCGAGCATCACGGCGTTTGATTTCCAACGCTGGCTGCCCGCACACGGCGCCGAACTTGTCCGTCGCATCCCTTTGGCCTTGTGCGCGGTGTCTCAGGTTCGAGACCCATGTTTTTGGAGGAGGAGGTGGAGGAGGACTGTATCTGCTGTGCGTGGCCGATCTCCAGGAAACACCTCTCACGTTTCCAGGCGATATGCGGAAGGATCCTCAAGCAAAAAGTTTCCAGGAAGTTTCCCCTTGGTGCTCTCGGAGGCCTCCCACCAGACCCCCTGGAGGCTTCCCCTGGTCCTCCCCTAGGCTTCTGGCTGGGCTGAGGGCTCCTGGAGGCTTCTCCTTCATCTTCCACCATGATCGCTTGCAGTAATCGACCATACCACTTGCATGTCTGGCAATGTTTTTTTGCTTGAAGTATGTTGAGGTTTATTTGTGATGCTTTCTTGTTACCCCTCCCCCTCTGTCCCTCCTCCCCTCATCCCCTCCTTCTCCCCCCCCTCCCGCCTCTCACCGCGGAACCATCGAGATGTTCCCAGGGTTCGTGATATCTCTGATCATCGTGATGCGGGTTTCGTGATGTCTTGGATCATCGTGATGCTTTTGGTCGTGCTTGAAACCGGAGGAGTTTAGGCAATTTTTGACAGACGTGTATTTGTAACTTGTCAAGTACGGCTTGACTGGACAGACCATTACGGCGGCAGGCGAGGCATTGTTCCAGACGTGACAGACTAATTTGATCGTCGAACGTTTCATCATTGGCATCGTTCGATGATTATCAGAAGCAACAGCAAAAATCGGTCACGGGGAAGGGGTCGGAGACGTCCTGGGACCCCGTATATGTATGTAAAACATCAGGACACCGCATGTCAGGTACGGTATGTTCTCGTCGTGTTGAACGGCAGCGACCCCGCAGCGGGCGTTCAACGTTGAACGCCGCCGGCGACCCAGAACTGGCCGATGTTGAAAGACCTGACGTTTCGGAGAGGGCCGTTCCTTCAAGGCTGAAGGATCCCCGCGGTGACGGGAACCAGCGCCGAAGTCGGTGTGACGGTGAACCTGCCGCACCGATGCCGCTGCCCCTGCCGCGTTGTCGCCCCTCTGCGCCGCTCTTGGGAGGCTCTCGCCGCCACTGCTGGAGACGCCTTGACCTCCTTGTCCTCCTTGTCCTCCTTGTGCGCCTCCCCCTCCTCCTCTTCCTCCTCCTTAGCCTCCTCGGTCTGGGGATCAGCGGTTCCGGCGATATCGGACCTGATGGCTCCCCCCATGAGTGGCTGCTGCCGTCGCCTCCGTCTTCATGCGTCGCTGCTGCGCTCGTCCGTCTGTCGTCCTTGCCGTCGCCGTTCGTCGTCGCCGTCGTGTCCGTGGTTGCCGCGCGTCTCTCTGCTGGGCAGCCCCGCGCCTTTTCGGAGCGCGCGCGAGGCTCACCCAGAATCCTGACTTCCGGGGGGGGCAGATGTCTAACATGGTTGCCAGCGTGTGCCCAACACAGTGATCTCTCGCGATCTGCACGGTGCAATCCAGGTGCTGCAATCCACGGGGTGGTGCAGTCCACGTGCTGCAGTCCGTGTCGTGCAAAGCCAGGCACGGCAAGGCAAGGCAAAGCAAGGCAACGCAAGGCAATGCGAAGCAGTGCAAAGCACTGAAAGGCAGTGCGTACTGTGCGGCGAATGCAGCCATGGCGACGAGAAGACTCCAGGAGACCCAAACGGGACGAAACTTTTTGCGTCGGCGGCTAGGCAGGGGACGTCTGCGCTGGCGATGGGATGCCTACAAGGGGATGCTGTTAGAACGAACTGTGCCACCACCGGACGGGATGAAGCATGCAGGGGAGCCGCCCGAAGTGTCCCGCTCAAGGCCCCCCCCCTCCGAACAGAAACTCCCGCCGGCCAGGACGGGCCTGCCCCTGCACGAGATCGACGTGTCCGCGGCGCAGCGGCTGACCGGGGACTTGAGGCAGCAGGCGCGAGATCGGTAGCTAAGCATGGGAGCCTTGTATCGGCGGTGGGCGAGGGGAGAAACTTTGAGGTTCGAACTTCGAGGTTCTAGGATTCCGGGCGTTTTCGTTCTTTCTTGGCGCTTTTCCGCCTCGGGCTGCGTTCTGGTAGCTGGGCCTCGCCGAGAGCGTTCTGGGGATTCCCGGATCCTCCCGAACGGCCGCTGGAGACCCGAGTCATGATCACAAAATTGAGCTCGGCAGCGAGCGAGGGGGGGAAGGGAGAAGGAGAAGAACTTCTCAGGAGGTTCGGGAGGCCCCCGATCTTCTGAGAAGTGTTCTCAGCCTTCCCCGAAGACAGAAACAACTTGTGAGAGGGTGCGCGGGCTTCTGGGAAGTCCCGCCGCCTTCTGAGAAGGCCGTCGCCTTCTCATTTCCCCCCTCGCTCGCCGCCGGTTCTATACCCTCCGACTCCCGTCGGCAGAGTCTTTCGCGTCGACCAGCGCCTGGTAATCGATCAGACTGCGCCGGTAGCGTCGACGAGCGCCGATGCATCGTCCATGAGCTAGGTCGATTCGCAAGAGCCGCCAACATGGTAATGGAGGATGACGATTAATAAATGACCGGGGGTCGTGTTCACTCGGCGGCGCCCGGGATGACGATTAGAAAAAACCGGCCGCGGGCTGGAAACCTATTCTTTTTTATCGCTCTCCTCCAGTCAGAAAACTGTGCAGCAATAGCAGGAAACTATTTTTTAATCGTTCTCTCCCATTTTGTTTTTCATCGTCATCCCGCATTATGGGAGGCTCCCGTGGGTTGCTGCCGCAGGCATGGAGGGCGCAGACGGCGCTGCCGCCGAACCCGGTGCAGCAGCACGTGATGGGCAGGCTCCGCACGCTGGAGGCGGGCCGCCGCCGCCGCCTGCGCCGTCGTCGCCGTCGTCGTCGTCGTCGTCGTCGTCGTCGTCGTCGTCGTCGTCGTTCGCGTCGTCGTCGTCCGCGTCGTCGTCGTCGTCGCCGCCGTCGTCGTCGTCGTCGTCGTCGCCGTCGTCGTCGCCGTCGTCGTCGTCGCCGCCGTCGTCGTCGCCGTCGGTCGTCGCCGTCGTCGTCGACCACGCCGACCGCGCGCTGGAGGCGAACCTGCCGATCGTGGGCGTGCTGTGCAACCCCCACATGGATCTCACGAGCTGCGAACGTATCCCCGACCTCCCTCTACGGTAGCTCCATGCGGAGTTGGCGCGCCAGCGACGCCGACGAATGCGTTCAAGATTCAGTTTTCCGACGGGGCAGCACCGATGGGCACGGCAACGCCACTGGACCCGATTGAATTCAGCCTTGAACGATCGGGGCCGCGACCGATGTAAGGCGGAACGGTCGATGCGGTGTCGAAAGCCTGCGCGCGCCGACGCCGCACCAACCTGCCGTAAGGTTGCGAGGTTTGAGGTTCTTGGTTCATCGAAGCTTGTCGGCCCCCAGAGGCCGCTTTCGGGCCTCGGGACAGTCAAAAACGGACCCGGGGGGTGGGCTGGGAACTGACAGGCTGCACCAGACGGGCCCCAGGAGGGGTCTGGGGACCGATGTGGAACGGAGGTTGACGATCAGCAGCTCCTGTCAATTTCGAGCTGGACTCACGAGCGGCGCACGTGTCCGTATCCGCGCTCTCGCGGTTTGGATTCTGGGGCGCGACCCCGCGGAGGTGCGGTCGCACGGATACGTCCGGCGTGGGGCTTCCGCGGAAGCGCCTCCCGCATCCGCGGGGCCGCGGCCCGGGGGCCCGGACCGCGAGGCCGCGGATGCGACATAATTCATATGTTTCGCCTTTTTTTTTTTTGTTTTTTTTTTCTGTCGATCTTTCTTTTCTTCAAAAAAGAAAAAGAAGGAAAGACAATTCCTATGCTCCGCCCTCGACAGGAGCACGGGGGGCAGCCCTGGCAGACCCATGCGGCGGGCTCGCGCCGTGCCGACGCGGCTGCAGCCCCAGCGCGGGCGTTCAAGGTGGAGCGTCACCGGTGGCTCAGGGTCGGCCAATATATGGAACGATCCGGCGATCGAAACGCCGCCGATCGTTCAAGGCTGAAAGATCCACGGGGCGTCAGAAGCCAGTTCTGGTGTCGCCACGAGACGAGCTCGCCGTAGCAGGCTTGCCACGTCCGTGACGGCCTCCCCGCCCCGCTCCAAGACGTGTGCAGGCGGCTGGAGGCGAGCCTCGTTAGCATACAACCCCTGGGAGGCTCAATTCAGCATCGGCGCTGGTACATCGCGATCGACACAACCGGCCCAATCTGGCCCAGTCCCGCCTCCTCCGGCCCTTTCCAGCGGCATCTCTTTTCGACCTGGCTCGATGGGCTCCTCCGTCGGCCTTCACAGCCCTTGTGAAGACTCTCCCAGGAGTGAGCTTCTCGCCTCTATATGGCGAGGGGTCGTCACGGGGAAGGCCTCGTCGCCGACCCGGACCCCCGACGTCGCGATTTTGTCCGCAGCGTCGAGCCTTGGAGGTTTGGACCCTTTCCCCGGGAACGGTTCTTCGTCCCGAGTCGTTTCGTCGACGGTCCCGAGGCCCGGCAGGGGCCCCCGAAGGCCGAACATTGAGACACACTTCCCGTCGTGATCTTTCGCAGCGCGAGGGGGTCGGGGAAGAGGTCGGCCAGGCCAGGCCGCAGACCCGAGGAGCAGCACCACTGGAGCTCCGTGGCCGAGCTCCTGCGGCTGGACCCGGACCTCGACCGCGCCGCGCTCTCCCTGGGCGACGTGGTGCTCCTCGGCCTCGCCCGGCACGGCAGGGACGTCGAGGCGGTCGAGGAGTGGCGAAGCGTCCGAGAAGGGGGGTGAAGACCAGGGGGGGGGGAAAAGCATGGCCAGGGCCACGAGGTCTCCCCAGATTCAATGCCCCCTCCTCGTATTTCGGAGCGTTCCCTGACCGCCCCCCCCGCTGGTCTGCACGTGCCTCGGGTCACGGTTTGCAGCCCCTTCCTCTTGGACGCCCCCCTCTGGGACGCCCCCGGAGTGGCGGAGCGTCCTGGCATGCCTAGAGGCCCACCAGAGACTGTTCTGATAACCTCCTGTGGTCTGCACGAAATGTTCTTAGAACATGTCTAGCTGAGCCTGTCTTGTAAAACAGAACCATTTGCTTTGGTGCTCTAAGAACATGGTTATTGTTATTCGACCAGGTTTGGGTTCTCAGAGCATGTCGTGGTAGGTCCATGGGAATGCCGGGACGGTCGGTCCCTGCTCAGAGGCGTTGTCCGCCGATGCCCTGAAGAACAGGCGGCTCACGGTCGGCGAGAGCGCGGGTTTCTTCTGTAACAAATCGTGGGAGCCTTGCGTACCTCGTCATTCTGTCTTTGGCGTCGATTCGCGTCGATGGACGTCCAGGAGTCGATGCGATAGCGTCGACTCGCGTCGATTTAGCGTGGATTGGCGTGGATGTTGCGTCGACTAGCGTCGATTCGCAAGAGCCCACAAGATAGTATGGAGGCTCCCATGAGTTGCCACCGAAGGTTTCGACTGCACGCCGGCCTTCAGGTCGAAGCTCTGGAAGCTCAGGGCCGACTCGGACCCTGGCCAGAGCGCGAACTGGTTCGAGCGCGACATGTGGATCCCGCAGGACGGCAGCCTCGTCTACCTCAGCGTGAAGGAAGAGCGGGAGCTCATCTACTACACCCCCGGCGACCTGGCCTCCGCCTCCATCGTGGAGCTAGACGGCACGGACTCGTGCAAGCCGTGGGGCTTCCGGGTGGTCCTCCCCGCAAAGGACTCGGGTCGGACGAAAGGGGGGGATAGGGAAAGGGGGGGTTTACGAAATTTACTGCATGCAGCTGGTTTCGGCTCCGCCGAGGGGCCCATTCCTCGATACATGGGCGCCTCCGGCGCCAGGAGGCGCCGGGAAAATCAGCTACGTGAGCTGATTCTTAAACCCCCCCTTTGTTATCCCCCCCTTTCGCACGGCCCGAAGGACGGCGTCGAATTCGCGCCGTCCACGTTCGCGGCGGAGTCGAGGGATCTCCGGGCCCAGTGGGTGGAGCGGCTCCGGAGGTCGTAGGAGCTGCCCGCGCCAGGCTGCCAGCGAAGCTGGCGCTTGCGTGGGCCCATCTCTCGTGGCCTCTGTAGGGGCACGGGTGCGTGGCATGCTCGGAGGAGTCTCGGAGTGAAGGTGCCCCCCGTCGCCGAAAACATCACAGCTGCCGCTTGGCGTTCTGACAGGCCTCCTCCCGCTTGAGACAAGTCGGGCACGTCCCTCTACAGAAGGAATGCTCAAACATTGTAAAATATAGTATGGGGACGAGGTTTCTGGCATTTGTTTGTACCTTTTTGGGCTATGTTCTGGGTATGCTTTATTTCTCGCCCCTGTAGGAGGACATGCCCGACCAGCTATTCTGCAGCCATGGGGCGTCGCAGTCGCAAAGTAGTGCGTAAGCGACAGCAGTCTGTATGGTGCGACATTGCAACAGAAACAGGACATCAGCAAGGCATAAGTGGGAACGGCGATCCGAGCGACCCGATTTCACATCGATTCTGTCCACCTTTATCCGATTCAGCTCGGTGCTTGCATGGGTCTGATGTGGTTCCTAGCGCGATTCGGTTCCGTCTCCTCGCCGATCTGGCCCGACCTAGCGCGCCCTCCGACTCGATCTGGTTTCCCGATTCGGTTCTGGCCGATCTTGCCTATGCCCCCTACCAGTACAAGTGGGACTCATTGCCGATTTGGCCCGACCCAGCGCGCCCTCCGACTCAATCTGGTTTCCCGATTCGGTTCTGGCCGGTCTTGCCTATGCCCCCTACCGGTACAAATGGGACACACGTGCGATACACAGTAGACTGCGATAACGACGAACTGCTATACAAAACGTTCGATCGCACTTGAGCCGAGCATCGTTGCCACTGCAGCGCGTGATTGCATGTTTTTTGTCGCACCTGCGTCTCCACCCCTCAACCCCGTCCCCTTGTCCCTGCGAGAGGAGAGATACCCCCCTTGAGCGAAGAACATGTCCGTATCCGCGGCCTCGCGAGCTGGGCCCCTGGGCCGCGACCCCGCGGATACGGAGCGCTTCTTCGTGGATGCCCCGCGCGGATCTTATCCTTGTGACCGCGTACACGCGGGATCGCGCCCCAGAGTCCATCGGGAGCCTTGAGACAGCGATCAATGCCAAGGGGGGTCAGGCAGGGCACCGGATCTTGCAGGATGCTGCAGAGCCAATCGGGCTTGGGTGCAGGATCTCGCAGGCTCTTGCAGGATCCTGCAACGCCTGGCTGACCAGGATCGGCACTGATCCGGGCAAGTGAGTCCCCGAGAGGGCCGCCGCTCGTGAGGAGGTGCGGCTGAGCTGGCCCTCCCGCGACTGCCGAGGCCGCAGGCTTGCCGCAAGTTCGGGGGGGCCTGGTGCTTCTTGTGCGAGGCCTCGTCTCGCAGGCATTTCTTCTCCCCAGCCCCCGGCTTCTCGACTAAACAAGTGAAGCCACGAAAAATAAAGCCGCTCAAAAAGGGAGGGAACTGTAGGAAACACGCCAAGGGAGCTATTCGGACGCACCCCTATCGAGGATTGACGCCCCCCATCATCGCATATCCCAGGGTTGGGCCCCAAACTTCTGGTCCATTCGAAAACCCACGAAGCCTGTTCTCGTCGTCCTGCGCCCTGCCCCAGGGGTAACATCAGATGGGGATAGGCTCCGGTGGGAACGCATCGAGCCCCTGGCCCCCTTTCGGGGCAACGTCATGCTTTCGGACGTTTCGTCGGCTCTCGGCGATTTCTGGGCCTCGGGATGCTCTCCGGCGGCTGCGCCTCGTCGAGAGCGCTCCAGGGATGCCCGGATCGTCCCGAACGGCCGCCGGGGAGCCGTGCAATGACCCGACAGTCACGACCAGGGGAGAGGGGCTCAGTTGGGGATGCATCGACTCCCACTCGCCCATGGATAGAGGCCCGACAGCCCGCTCCGCCGAGGAACGTGCGGATTCGCAGTCGAGGGCGTGTGGCCGATCTATCTGCAATGCATCTCCCACTCGGGCTCGACGTTGCCCCCCGAAGCTGGTTCCCCCCCGAACGCTGCGTCTCGCTTCCCCATCGGCCACCTTCTTCAGTCGAGTTGACCCAAAAGGGTGTCCAGCGACAAGGGTGTGGTGCAATAGATTTGGTGGAATAGATTTGTGGGGTTGCAATGCATTTGGGGCGCGCAGTACACTCTGGGGGGCATATGTGTTGCTGGATTTTCGCGTGCAACACTTCTTGCAACACAATGCAATACACTGCTCCGACGCAGTACATTTGCACTATCCTCTTTCAGCTGGAGCCCCTCTTGGGCCACCCAAATCCAGGGGCGTCCACGTGGAGGGTGAGGACCTGCGGATTGCATGGCCCCCCCTTCCCGTTGCAGCGCGCCCTTGGCACCCGCCCCCCGTGGGCGGCGCACGCGCCTCGTGCCACGAGTTGCGAGGCCCCCTCTTCCCCCCCCACGATCGGCACTGCGAGCGACGCCGGCGGCGGGCCGTCGTGCCCGCGAGCATGGGCTCCTGTGGTGGAGCCGTGCAGGCTCGAGGCGCAGGCCGGCGTCGCCAGAGGGCATGGGCTTATGATGATCCAACCTACTTTAGCGTTGACCACCAGAAAGAATTCCGAGCACCACGAAAGTACCGAAACTTGAGGGTTTTCACGTGTCGGGCGCTGGAAGGCGATGCTCGTTCGACGCTGTGTTGACACTCTTCTGAGCGCTCGAAATTATTTCTGGGATGCGATCCTTAAGTACGTAAGGAGCAACATAAGCGTGGGCCTCTCGGCTGCTCCTCCCTCCTCCTCCTCGCGTTGCGGATGCGCGCATGCTTGTCCCCCCCAAGATCACCTGCGTGAGTGGTCTATCTGGTCTGCGAGCCGCTCTGCTCTCGGAGGCTCGGAGAGTAAGCCAGGCCAGCTCGGCGAAGCCGACCAACCAGAGGGCAAACAAGTCCAAGTCGAACAGTAAGTCGAAGACGATCCAGGATAGCGCCAGCGACCGCAGTGAAACCGAGTGCTGGGGGTATGTTGTCGACCTGGACGGACACTGGGCCACCACATTCTGCTTCTGCACAGCGCAAAGTATCACCGCGATTCTCTTCGACACCCTCGATGTTCAGACGGACGCAGAGAGCTTGTATCAGGCGGGCATATTGGAGGCAGCATCGGATGAGACCCACCGTGGACACCCTAGTGGCAAACCTAGCCTTACACGGGAGATTAAAGATACGTGTGAACCAGTTGATTTCAGGATTCTGTTACTGGCGCCGCTAAGCGAGTTCCGGCGGGTTGCACCTTCACGCGCAAGCGGGCAAGCCTCAGAGGCATCGAAAGAGTTGTTGAAAACAGACAGAACAACAAGGAAGCCGATTGAGGACGCTTATTGTAGCGTGGTGCCGTTCAGGACTTACATCAATAATCAAGACTTGCGGATTCCCTTTCGCCGCATTTCGGTCCAGCCTGTCCTCCAAGCGCACAGGGACGACACTTGTTTAGCAAGGTCGATTGCAGTACTGCTGTGGATGTGCTGGGAATTGCGACAGGACCAAGGGAGATTCCACGCTTTCGTAGGGAAAGCGCAAGAATTTGAAATGGAAGCCGCTGCTGATTATACGAACCAGGTGCAATCGCATGGCATGGAGCGCAATTCAATCGAGCCTTCGTCGCGGCTAATCGCATCAGATGGCGCCCCCGACCGCTTCGACAGGGAGACGTTTTGTATGGTGCAGTCCGTTCCTGACACGAGAGAGTGGAACAAAAACATCAGCGGACAGTGCCGAGAACACATTAATATGCCGTCAGAGTTGTGCAATCGTCTGGACAAGCTCTTGGATTGTCAAAATCCGACGGACGCCAGCAACCTTGACCGATTGGAAAAAGCGCAGCTGCATTGGAACTGCATGTCAACCGAGGAGCAGAAGCTATACAAGTTTGACTTTGGGACGCGCTCTGATCCTGAATCGTTAAGATTGCCTGAGATTGGTGCAAGGAAGGATGATGTACCCGCCGATCTTTCAGAAGTGTCTTCGCACAGCAATCTGCTCAAGTTTTTGCTACTCGGCCGGCTTCACGCAGGTGTGCCCAAGCGCACAACAGAGAAGCATCCAGTTGTTTGCGGCAGGTCCCGCCACCGTGCCTGCCAAGCATTCTAGGTGGCGCTTGCTCGAGGGGGCACTGGAGGCCGTCACGTGTGACATCGTGTGTCCAGGGTCGGGGGAGCCGTGATGATGATGATCATGATGTGAATGTTGATGATATTGATCAGGATGACGGCAACGATGGGGATGACGAAGAGGATGAGGAGGATAGTGGTGATGCTAATAATGATACTCATTATGCTGACGATGCTGATAATGATAATGATGATAATGCTGATGATGTGATGCTGATGATGATGTGATGCTGATGATGGTGGTGTTAGTGATGCTGATGATGATGGTGATGCTGATGCTGATGCTGCTGATGATGATGATGATGATGATGATGTCGGTGGTGGTGATGATGAGGATGAGGATGAGGATGAGGATGAGGATGAGGATGAGGAAGATAAAATGATGATGGCGATAATGGTGATATTGTTAGTGATGGGGTCCCTTGAGGCGCTTTGGCCGTCGTAGGGCACTCTTACACCGTCGTGACCGTCTTTGGGCTCTCTCTGCCGAATGGGGTCTGGGGGCCATCGTGGGCCAAGGCCTTCTAAGGCAGTCAGCGGTCCCACGGGAGGCCGTCTCGCGCCGTCTTGGATGCCTCTTGAGCCAGCGTTGGACCTCTGGGGCCATCTTGGGACCGTCTTGGGAGGCCCTTGGGCCGTCTTACGACCATCGTGGATGTTTCTTGGGCCGTCTTACGACCATCGTGGAGCTGACGGACGCCCGAAAATGCGAGAATGCGAAAATCATTCAGCAATGGCTTCGTCCGCGTGGCCATTCTGTGCCTTCCTGGAGGGCATCGTGGGCCGTCCGATGCCATACGGTGGGGGGCATTCGTTAAGGAGTGTGCCCAAGGGTCTTCAGACCCTGGGAGCTTCCTTATCCAATAAGGCCGGCGGTGAAATACATGGCCAATCCACGATCGAAGTCCCACTGGCTTCGAGACCCTGGATTCCTGATCCATGAATTCCTCATCCAATGCCCTCCACGTATTCGCCAGCCTTGGGGCCGCCTTGGGCCGCCTTTGTTCGAGGCATCTCGGGCCATTCTGGTGTATGTTGGCTGCCTGGCTGGACCGTCTTGGCCGCTCGGGACGCGGACACACCGCTTCGCCCAGCCATCCTGCGGTGCTGGGCCCTCGCTTTGAAGGGGCAGCGCCCCGCGCTCCTCCCCCCTCATCTTCTTCCTCCTCCTCCTTCTGTTCCTCCTCCTTCTGTTCCTCCTCCTCCTCCTCCTCGTGCTCTTCTTCCCTTCCTTCTTCTCTTCCTCCTCCTCCTCCTTCTCCTCCTCTTCCTCCTCCTCTTCTTTCTCCTCCTCCTCCTCCTTCTGTTCCTCCTCTTCCTCCTTCTCCTGCTCTTCCTGTTCCTCCTCCACTTGCTCCAATCCCTCCCTCCCTCCTCCCGTCTCTGTATCTGCCCTCCGCATGTCCACAACTCCAGCGCACCCCGTACAGCGCTCCGTAGCCCCGGCGGCAGCGCCACCGCAGGCCCCCAGTGGCTGTGGCAACATGCGTCCCGCGCCACCCAGTACTACGGCGTTTCGTGACTCCATAGGGAGCTCCGCCGAAGGCCCCAGCGGCTGTGACCACATCGGTCCCGCGCCACCAAGTACGGCGTGTCGTGACCGCACCGGGAGCTCCAACGAAGGCCCCAGTAGCTGTCACCACACGCGTCCCGCGACACTCAGTACAGCGTTTCATTGCCCCAGAGGGAGCTCCACCGAAGGCCCCAGTAGCGTTGACAACATGCGCCCCGCGCCGCCCAGTACGGCATTGCGTGGTATTATGGAGAACCCCAACGAAGGCCCCAGTGGCTGTCACCATAGGGGGCGCCACCGAAGGCCCTGGTGGCTGTGAGCACATGCGCCTCGCGCAACCCAGTACATCGCTACGTTGCTTCAGGGGGAGCTCCACCGACGGCCCCACCAGCTGTGACCACATGCGCCCTGCGCAGCCCAAAATTGGTTTTGGACTAATCGAGAGCTCCGCCGAAGGCCCCAGTAGCTGTGACCACATGCGTCCCGCGCCACCCAGTACGGCGCTTCGTGGCCCCATAGGGAGCTATTGCAGGCTTCACTGGCTGTGACCACATGCGTCCGCGCAACCTAGTATGGCGGGTCCTTGCCCCAGAGGGCGTTCCAGTGAAGGCCCCAGCGGCTGTGACCACATGCGTCCCCCGCCACCCAGTACGGCGCTTCGTGGCCCCATAGGTGGCTTCATCGACGGCCCCAGCGGCCGTGACCACATGCGTCCCGCGCCACCCATTATTACGCTTCGCGGCCCCATAAGGAGCCCCACCGAAGGCACCAGTGGCTGTGACCATATGCGTCTCGCGCCACCCAGTACGGCGCTTCGTGGCCCCATAGGGAGCTCCAACAAGGCCCCAGTGGCTGTGGCAACATGCGTCCCGCGCCACCCAGTACGGCGCTTCGAGGCCCCATAGGGAGCTCCACCGAAGGCACCAGTGGCTGTGACCATATGCGTCTCGCGCCACCCAGTACGGCGCTTTGTGGCCCCATGGGGTTGTGACCACATGCGTTCCGCGCAACCTAGTACGGCGGTTCGTGGCCCCATAGGTAGCCCCAGCGAAGGCCCCACCAGTAAGTGTGGTCTCATGCGTGCCGCCCCGCCCATTTCGGCACACCCCTCGCACGTTTCGTGTCCCCATCGGGAGCCCCACCGAAGGCCCCAGTGGCGACGTTCGCGTGCGCGCCCCCCGCCCATTTCGGCATACCCTTCAGGCGCTTCGTGGCCCCATGGGGAGGTTCACCGAAGGTCCCCGGGGCGACGTTCGCATGGCGGCCAAACTCCATTCCGGCACACCCCCCACACGTTTCGAGGCCCCCTATGGGCACCGAAGGCGCCACTGGCTGCGCCCGCATGCGTCCCCGCCCCATTTCGGCACACCCTTTGCTAGCTCCGTGGCCCCAGAAGGGGATCCACCGCAGGCGATACCCACAGCTGCAGATGGTTGGGCCCTTCGCCAGGATAATGTTACGATGGGCCGTGGCGTCAGGAACGCGGAGCCGCCGTGTTTTGCGAGGGATTGTGGCCTTGAGAGCAGGGGAGTTGCATGCAACTGGACACGAGTAGGGTGTGGCCTTACTGGAATACAATAGCCCTAGCAGACAGACCTTGGCATTGTTCCGAGCCTCAACGTGCACAATGCACGGGGCACGGTGGCGGATCTTCAGGGCCACCACATTGACGTCGGCGGCAACAACCGATCTGATACCGATTCACGCCGAGAGGATCTCGCTTATGTTCCCTTCTTCGTGCTGCCTTTCCCCAAGCTCTTCGAGCGATTAAAAGTAAAAGATTTCATGTCAGGCCCAGATTTGAGACAGCCGCATCCAGATACATGCGGTTCCACAGATGGTTCAAGTCTGATAGCGTTGCTGCGTGGCCTGGACGTTCCTGAAAGGCACTGGGACGTCATTGTGTCGGATTTCGAGTTGGCTGGAACGCCCGAAGGGTCATATCATGATGCGGAGTTCTGGAACCCAGTGGTCTCTTCTTCCGGATATTTCAAAGAGGTTCGCCATCCAAGGAAGCTTGATGTAAAAACTAGAAGAGCAAGAAGGTGAGTAGAATGTGGAAGGAGGGCTCGCGCTGTGTCATTCGCCAGGGCAGCTTTCCGGTGTGGTGTCTGGCTCGCCGTATCTCAAATTACGACGTGGACCACCACCAAGGCGTAGGCGGATCCCAGACCCCCGACGTCGTGATTTTTTCACAACGTCGACTCCCAGAGGTCTAGACCCCTTCTCTGGGACCGGTTTTGCATCCCGAGTCATGTTTAGACGGTCCCGTGCCCTGGAGGCCGAAAACAGCGTAAAAAGTCCAGTCGCGATTTTTCCACAACGCGCACGCGGGGGTTTGGGGAGGGGCGAGGGGGTGGAAGGGGAAGACCAGGAGCCTCCACGCTGCCTGTGATGTGCTGCAAGGTCGGCGACCGCCCCCCGCAGGCAGACCGTACTCGGGGTGGGGGCATGGTCTGTCCGAAGGACCTGGTGCACGTCAGCAGCTCCTGCTTGATGCCTTCGTCTGTATACAGTATTGTACTCGTTTGGGGGGGACCTTCCTGGATCTGTCCGACTCAAGCTCGTTTCAAGATCGACTCAATTTCAACTCAGGTTCGACTCAGGTTCGAATCAGGTTCGACTCAGGTTCGACTCAGGTTCGATTCAGGATGGACTCAGGGTCGACTCAAATCGACGTACGTTCGACGCCGCTTCAACGCACGAGTGGAGCGAGTGTCTCCAGGAAGGTCCCCAGAATGAGCATCCAAATCTAGTCTCCGCATGTCTGAGTCGCTGGCGTATGCGTCGGGCTCTGGAGTGCAGCCGCCTGTCAAGCGGCCTGCGACAAGCAGACGTGCCGCTCCTGCTGAGATGTGCGCCAGCATTCTCCCCCGTCCCTCTGGACCTAACTCAGCTCTCTTCCCCATGTGATTCGAACGGTTCCTCGGTCCTCGCTCTTCTATCCCCACCTCCTCCACGGCCGCCTGCGCGCAGGACCAGAACCGCCTTCTACTGTCGTCCTCCCATTGCCGCTTTCGTCGCCTACAGTTTTAATACATCTGTTTTTGCCCAGCAGTGGCTCAATACATGTTGTCCGACTCTTGCGTAATGCACAATATACGTTACCAGGTTGCTTGTCAATCTTCCTTGGCAGCAATAATGCAGTCTTAATTGTGCATCGCGGGCACATTCGCAGCCGCCGGCTGCGTCTCACTGCCTGTGTGGTGCCAATTTGTCCTCATCGAGTGGTCTGATGAAGTGCAGGCGTGCAGATTCCCTGCAGCCCCTGCAGATTCTGACAGTCGCGCGACGCAGGCAAAAAAACACCCACCGCGACAGCTGGTAGGGACAACCTGCTCACACGCATTGCAGGTGAAGCCCATGCAGCGCAGCGCAGAGCAAAGCGAAGGAACGCGGCACACTGCCAGCGACGCAGCGCAAGGCCAGGCAAGCCACGCAAATCAGTGCAGCAGGAGGCGCAGAGGATGTCCAGCCACGCCCGCGCAGCTCAGAGGGCAGCTCTTCGTCGCCCCTCCCCTGCTCGCACGGAGCCGGAGCCGGAGCGGGCGGCGTCCGGCGCCGGGCAGCGGTGGCCACCTCGGGATGAGGGGCTGGGGCCGTGCGAGGACTCTGCGGCATGCAGTCGCCATTCCGCCACGGTGTGCAGACGTCGTCATCCGTCGAAGACAGGCAGCACCGGCTCACTCCGGGCCTGGCGGCCGCGGCGTGCGCGGTGTGCGAGGCGGGCCGGGCTTCTGCTACTTCACCCCAATCAGTGGTTGGTTTTCGCTGGGGAGATCGACCGGGAACCCGGGAGCCCGTGAACCCAGAACCCACCGACATCAGCCCGGAACCAATAACCGGGAACCCGGGAACCCGGGGAACCCAGCCTGCTACGGCAGGTTCGCGTCGTGCCGACCAGCGGTGACCCCGCCGCGTGCGTTTAAGGTTGAACGCCGCCCGTTGCCCAGAATCGGCCCGTCGTTGAACGATCTGGCGTTCACATAACGTCCGATCGTTCAAGTTTGAACGATCCCCGCGGTGTCAAGAACCAACGTAGGGTCGACACGACGCGAACCTGCCGTACCCAAATCGGTGGGATTTTTTCGCCAAATCTTTCAACTTCCGCTAGGACCCCTAAAGTGCAAGCACTGATTGGGGAAAATCAATCAAGCCCAACCTTTCGAGGCGGGAAGTGTTAACCTCCACCTGGGGGATCGATCCTCGAGGTTCTCGGCAGGCGGTGGACATGGATATACAGAGGAGACCCATGCCAAGAAACACCCTGCTTGTCTCCAGGGTGCCCTGGGTTCCGATGGTTTCGCTATGGGGCAAGCGTGCCGCTCCCACACCAAAAACTGATGGACGTCCTGGGATCTCAGGGTCGGGTTTCTGGTGGGAGGTCTCTTGTGGTCGGGCCCCTACCGTACCGTTACCTGCCCCCCTCCAGCTAACGACCGTTATTGTAAATCATAGAAAAATCGCATGTCCTCCCAAATCGGGGAAACGTAAGACGCGAGTACGCCGGGACTCGGGTTTGCCAGCGCCTTTTGACGGGCCCGTCCCCGATGTTGGCGCTCCAGTTTTCGCGGGATGCCTCCACAGTGCTCCACTGGCCACCACTGTACTCGGGCCCCCTCGGGGCCTGCATGCGTCAACCAGCGGGCCTCGGTCTGCGCGCGCCTCGGTCGGCGCGCTCCAGCAGACAACGGACCCCGCCTTCCCCCGGGGGCCCCTCCGGGCCATGCAGAGCTCACATTACGGGCTGCCCTCGGCGAAGAGGCAGCGGCGGCGGCAGGCGGGTGCGCGCACGGAGGAACAGGAGGAGGAGGCGGCGGCGGAGGAGGAGGAGGTCCCACCCCCCCCGAGCCGCGAAGAAGCACGACGGGTTGTTTATCCCAATCGTCGGCCTCCAGGGGCCCTCCCTGGGCCTCGGGGCTTTTCAAAATCCCGTTCAGGAGGCAGAACCGGTCCTGGGGAGTGGGTCGAGTCCTCGGGGGCCTGGCGTCATGAGCAGATCATGACGTCGGGGGTCCTGGTTTCGAGGGCCGAGGGGCCTGGCGCAAGAGGTCCTCCCCGGAGAGGGGGCCGGCGGAAGCAGGTCGCGGCCGACGTCCGACGCCCGCTGGAGCGGCCCACGCGGGGGGGGCTTTGAGGAGGCACGGCAGCGTGAGGGCAGCAGGTCGGGTGGGGCTGAGGGCGGGGAGAGGTCCGCTCCCGAACGCGCTGGAACGCGCCCAGGGCGTCCCGGGAGGCTCTGAGAGGGCCGCGGCGCCCGAGGTCTCCTCCAGAGCCGTCGGAGCTCCGAGATTCTGGATTTCATGCTGCCCGGTGTTTTCCTCGACTGGACTTCGTCTCAGCATGAGAGCTCAGAGGACACAAAGTCACCGATGTGTCGCTGCCCTGTCTTGGGCCTATTTCCCACCACCACTACCGTACGTATGTAGGAGAGGGGGAAGAGGAGGAAGAGGGGGAGGAGGAGGAGGACCCTCATCTTCCTTTCTCCCCCGACCTACATACGGTAGCGGCGGTGGGAAATTTGCGCATCATTCTCGTTTGTTCCCTTTGGGGCCCCCGGGAGGTGGTTCCTCGCCGCCGCGGCTGCATCCCCACCTCGAGGTGGCCTGGTCTGGTGGAGCCCCTGGAGGGGTCCGGGGAGTGTCTGTCTGGAGTATCCGTCTGTCGTTGAACGTATGTATTTTGGGATATCCAGTTCCCCAGCTGCCTCAAGCGCCTTGCTACTGACAGTCGAGCGGTGGTCCATCTTGCTCCCCTTTTTCACGGGCGGGCGGAAGCCCAATCTACTTCCAACGTCTTCCTGCTTCCTGCTTCTATACCCACATATTCCGACCGACGGGTATCTGTTTCTTTCGTCGAGAGGAGAAGTTGGTCTTTCTACCGGAGAGGGGGGAATGGGAGGTGACGGGGACGATTCGACGATGGCGTGGGGGGGAGGTGAGAAGAAGAGGTGCTGGCGTGAGGCTGCACAGTGGTAGGTGAGGGGAGCATGCGCCAGACAGAACGCAAGAGAGGTCTCCGAAATGTAGGCCGTGGTGGGCAGAACAGGGTGGCTGGAAGATCTCTGCTGCGTCGCTCCTGAAAGGCAGAGATTCCGACCAAAGGCATCCACCGCCCATGCACAAGGCAGAGCCCAGACCCCCGTCGTCGTAACGGGCCCCCTGGAGGTCTGGACTCCTTCCCAGGGACAGTTTTTCACCCCAATTCGTTCTTGTTAACGGTGGTCCTGGGGCCCAGTGAGAGCCCGCGAAGGTCGGAGATGGCCAAAAGCATAGCGTAGCGTTCTTGTTCGCAACGAGAGGAGGTGTGGAAGGGTGGTGATAGAAATGCGCGGTGGTCAGGCAGGAGTTGGGTGACACTGGGTCTGTGTGTGAGCGTGTGTGCGTGTGTGCGGGCAGGCGTGCATTTCGGGCAGCCGTTCCCGGGAGGTGGCACCGCGCCGAGTCACTTCCCCAGATCTCGCCAATGGACGGTTTCTTTTCAATCCGAAGGCTCCTGGTCCGAGGCGGTGGTTAGGCCCAATTCTTCTCACTCTTATCTTGCAGCAGCGCCCGTGCCTCAAAGAGTGCACACTCCAACTCGAGGCACAAGAGAGAGAGGGAGAGCGCTGCATTTGAGGTGCGCACAGCACTAGGATGCTTCTCCGAGGCCCCTGGACCCTCTCCCCCGGGGTCAGCGTTTCGCTCCGGATCCTGTCGTCGATTGTCCCGGAGCGGATAGCGGTGCCCGGGACACGACATCGTGCAGCTCGCATGGCTCCCCCCCTTCTCTCGCTGCTGTCCCCGCCCCCTCGTCCGCGTACACATCTCGGGGCACGATGCGATGACCCTCCTCATTTCCAGATCCCCGACGTCGTGATTGACCCCTTGCCTGGGACCAGCACCTCGTCGTGATTCTCTCGCTGCCCGAGGGGGTCTGAGCCTCTCTGGCGCAACCGTCAAGAGCGCCGGGAGGCCGGCTGGATGGACAGACCCTAAGATCCGAAGTTGCCGACAAATTTCCAACGCCGCGGACCATCGCGATCTGAGCTCTAGACCCAATCGTTCCCAGACCCCCTCGCGTTCTGAACAAAATTACGGCGGGAGGCTTTTCACTATTTTCTGCCTCCCGGGGCCCTTACCAGGCCTCGAGACCGTCAAAAGCGCCTCAGGATGAAACACCCGTCCTGGGGAATGGGATCCAGACCTCTGGGGGTCGACTGTGCGGAAAAATCACGAGGTCGGGGGTATGGGCCCCATCGTTCTGTGCCGTTTTTCCCGCCGAATCTAGATCTATTTCTGACGGTTTCGGGGTCCGAAACCGAGTGAAAACGCCCGTTGTGGAATAATTGCCGCGCCAGGATCGCAGGGGACGCTACACTTGGAACGTCGCGGGGAGTGCCAATGGATCATGATGAGGTTTAAAAGTGGATGCCAAGGTGGGCTATATCTGGCCTCACCTAGATTCTAAGCGGTTTGTAAGTGCCCTCAGTGGCTTAGGGTAATTCGATAACTCAGCTGAGTGGGCTCCGCCCACTTTGCCCGGAGCTGTACGCCCTTAAACCAACCAGTCCATGTGCAGGTCAGGCCAGATACGTAGCACCACGTATTTGTGGATAAGAGTGCGGGGGCGGCGAGGACGTCGATAGTCTTCGAGGCTCTGAAGAAGCCCGCCGCAGGCGCCTAAGTTTCATAAGTTCTACAACGATGTGGGTGGGTCGCGGGGCGGGCCGCGGGTGGGTCGCGGGTGGGTCGCGGGTGGGTGGCGGGTGGGTCGCGTGCCGGGTCGCGGGCCTGTCGCGGGTGGGTCACAGGCGAGTCGCGGAGTTGGTCGCGGGTGGGTCGCAGTGGGTCGCGGGCCGGGTCGCGGGTGGGTCGCGGGTGGGTCGCGGGCCAGGTTGGGGGGGGACGACGACAACAAACAAACAAACAACAAACAACAACCAACAAGCAACAATCAACAGTCAACAACCACAACAGCAGCAACAACAACAAGCATTTTAAGGTTGTTCGTTCTTACTTGCCCGTGTGTCATTGAAAACGAGTTCCCCACACCCTCGATGTTCGCCCTTTTTGTCTTCGATCACACCCCCTTTTGGGGGATTCTTTCTCTTTGCGGGAGGCGGCGGGCTTAGACAGGCGAGCAAATTTGAACGGACGGACAATCCGTCGTGGGCGCACATGTGCCCGCCATTGGTATTGGTGTGGGCCCTGCAAAAAGAGGAGGGGGAGAACGAGCGAGAGTGGGAGGAAGGGAGGGGGTGGGACGAAGGAAGAGGGAAAACGCCAGGAGAGAAGGAGCGAAGAGGGGGGCGGTTGATTAGAGGCAGAGAGAGAGAGAGAGAGAGAGAGACAAACAAAACCTATCTATAAGAGTTGTAGAGAAAGAGAGAGAGAGAGAGAGAGAGAGAGATAGAGAGAGGGGAGAGAGAGAGAGAGAGAGAGAGAACAACAAAAAAAACAACAAAAAGAGGAGGGAGGAGGCAGGACAGGGGAGGGAGAAGGAAGGCGGGAGAGGAGGGAGAGGGGGTAGGGCAGAGAGGCATAAGGATGAGGGAAGAGAGGAGGGAGAGACACGGGAGGAGAAGAGGGAGGAGGGATAAGGGAGAGGGAGGAGGAGCAGGAAGGTAAGTGCGTGAACGCTCGAGGAAGTCCTAGGCGAAAGCGCCGTTCCTGAAGGAATTCTCGGGCGGGAGCCTACGACGGGCGGGCGATCCCCTGACGGGCGGGTCGGGCGGGTGGGGCATTCAAGCGGGAAGCCTAAGTATGGCGAGAGCGCGATTATCAAGTCAATTGTAGCGGCGTCCCTGGCGCAGCGTGTTTCCTGAGCGTCGAAAGTGCGAGTTCTGAATACATTGCACGGGAGCCAGGCGAGAGCCCAATTCCTGAAACAAAAATGAGGGGTTCTCTGGCGGGAGCGGGAATCTGGATTAAATTACGAGGAAGTCTTGATTCAATTGTGAGGAAGTCTCAGCGGGAACGCCGTTCCTGAGTAAATTTGAGGAAGTCTCAGATGGGAGCTGGGGTCTTGCTTAAATTGCGAGGAAGTCACAGGCGGGAACACCGATCCTGAGTAAATTGTGAGGAAGTCTCAGGACCGGGCGTCCTGAGTAAATTTGGAGGAAATCTCAGGCGGGAGCCGATGTTGTTGTAATCCGGGGGGGCAGGGGCCTAGTTTGAGCAGGAAGACTTTCCCTGCCAGAAAGCTAGGTGCGGGCGTCGAGCGTCGAGCGTCGAGAAAAAACAGCATGCACCGGTGGGGGTTTCTACAATAATTATTCTTCGAAAGTGCAGGTTCAACGGCTACGACGACGACTTCCACAGCTACTTCGACGACTACAGCGACGACGACGAGTACCTACAGCTGCTGCCACTACTACTCCTATTCTTGGTACTACGAACTACTTACTACTACTACTACTACTACTACTACTACTACTACTACTACTACTACTACTACTACTACTACTACTACTACTACTACTACTACTACTACTACTACTACTACTACTACTACTACTACTACTACTACTACTACTACTACTACTACTACTACTACTACTACTACTACTACTACTACTACTACTACTACTACTACTACTACTACTACTACTACTACTACTACTACTACTACTACTACTACTACTACTACTACTACTACTACTACTACTACTACTACTACTACTACTACTACTACTACTACTACTACTACTACTACTACTACTACTACTACTACTACTACTACTACTACTACTACTACTACTACTACTACTACTACTACTACTACTACTACTACTACTACTACTACTACTACTACTACTACTACTACTACTACTACTACTACTACTACTACTACTACTACTACTACTACTACTACTACTACTACTACTACTACTACTACTACTACTACTACTACTACTACTACTACTACTACCAGCACTACTACTACTACTACTACTACTACTACTACGACTATTTTTTCATCACCTCTACTATTACTACTACTACTACTACTACTACTACTACTACTACTACTGCTGCTGCTGCTGCTACTACTACTACTACTACATCTCCTTTTACCACTACTACTACTACTGCTACTACGACTACGACTAATACTCCCACAACTACTCTTAGCACTATTACTACTTCTTCTTCTTCTTCTACTACTACTACTACTACTATTACTACTACTACTACTACTACTACTACTACTACTGATAGTAGTACTACTACTGCTACTACTACTACTGCTACTACTGCTACGACTACTACGGCTACGACGATTACTACGACTACGACTACGGCTAGTGATACAACTACTACTACTACTATTACTACTACGACTACTACTATTACTTCTACTATTACTACTACTACTTCTACTACTACTACTACTACTACGATTACTACTACTACTACTACTACTACTACTACTACTACTACTACTACTACTACTACTACGGCTACTACTACTACTACTACCACTACTACTAGTACTACTACTACTACTGCTGCTACTACTACTACTACTACTACTATTACTCCTACTTCTGCTATTAAGTTTTCCCTACTGCGTTTACTATTACTATTACTACTACTACCACTACTACTACTACTACTACTACTACTACTACTACTACTACTACTACTACAACTACTACTACTACTACCACTACTACGACGACGACTACGACGACGACTACTACGACCACGGCTAGTACTACGACAGCAGAAGCAGCAGCAACAAACAACAACGCCAACACCAATAGTTACAACATCAACAACTTCACATACAACTACACATGCATCTGCACCTACACCCACAACTACACCAACAACGATCCGCACCGCAGAGTCTCACTGCAGCCACGCGCCAAGAGGCAGTGAGTGGCCGTTCGGCCCCCTCACTCTGATACCCCTCCTTGGCAGGAGCGACGGGCCGGGCCCGCTGGCGAGGCCAGGCATCCGAGCGCGAGGCCGTCGGGGGCCCCGAGCGCGAGGCCCGCGCCGCGGCGTAGCGCTCGCCCGCGGCGCCCGGGGCTTCGCCCCCCGCCGGGCGACGAGGGGCGCCGCCCGCGGGGGCGGTGGGGGTGGGCGCGATGGCCCAGGCGCAGGCGCACGGCGGCCTAGGCGGGCTCCCTAGCCTTGCCTGTAGCACTTGCACAGGTCTCGGCCCGGCAGTGCAAGGGTTGCCGCGCAGAGAGGGCCGTCCCACGTTCAGGGCAGAGGGTGTGTGCTTGATGGAGAGGCTTGTCTACATTAAGCAAATGTTGTGTTATCACGGTCCCATGAACTGGCGTAATTTCGTGAATCGGTCCATCCGTTATGCTCAAAACTGCATGTGTTCAGAAGCGGCTGGTGACATACGGCTTACTCGCTACCTATACCTATGTTGGCCAGTGAATGACGCAGCATCTTTAGGGGACCTCTCCTGGTTTGTAAGCGGCGGTCTTTTCCTGATCCCCGACGTGGGTTCTGCGCTGGCGCGACATGAATTCAACGCGGATTCGACTCGGATGGTTGGCGCGATGGACAGACGATGTACTTCGAATCTACCTCACGCTTTCCCGCTCTGCCGCCCTGGATCGCTCGGGGTGCCCGCTGCCCCCCGACCCCCGCGGGTCTTGAGAAACGCGCAGCGGAAGCTTCTCGGCATTCTCCGTGGGCTCTTGGAGTTTCCCCAGCCTCGGGATGCTCCCCAGCAGCTGCGCCTCGCCGACCCACCGGGTCTTGCGCAGGAGCGTCGAAGAACGGCCCAAGATCCTAACAGCAGTTCCGTGGCACGAGCGGAGGCCTCCCAGGGTCGGCGGTGTGAGATTCTGACGTCGGGGATTTTGGAATCTGGCCGCCCTGATGGGATCGAAGCACACGGGGTCGGAGGACCCCGCTGCACCGCAGATCCATCGGCGATGCGGCTCGATGCCGAACCCCATGTTCCACGCTCCCTCCAAGATACATCATCGCCGACGTCGCCGAGGCAGCGCCGATGCATCGGCGATGCGTCGGCCAAGGCGGCGCGATCCTCCGACCGCATCGCATCGCACCCCACCTGGGAGGCCCCACGGGAGGAAAGAGGTTAGCGTTAGGTCGGGCGTGTCCTCCTACAGGGGGATTTTGAACGAAACTTTAAACTACCACAAGAATGCGCAAACATAGACAAAAATCGGAGGTTGGGGGGTGAGATCGAAGTGGAACGGAGAGCCCCCCTACCGGCAAATCGATTTCGGTTTCGTGTTCGTGCGTGCCGTGCGGGCGAGGCGAAGCTGCGTGGGCGGGCGAGAGAAAGTCTCCTGTGGCTGAGGCGCGGCCGGACCAAATGTCTCCCTTCCAGGTGGCCAGGGGCCCGTTGTGTCCCGCCGGTGTCCCGCTGGTGTCCCGTGTGGCTGAGGCGCGGCCGGACCAAATGACTCCCTTCCGGGCGGCCGGGGGCCCGCGGTGTCCCGCCGGTGTCCCGCGGTGTCCCGCGGTGTCCCGCGGTGTCCCGCGGTGTCCCGCCGGTGTCCCGCGGTGTCCCGCGAGGATGATGATGATGATGAGATGATGATGAGATGATGATGATGATGATGATGATGATGATGATGATGATGATGATGGTGATGATGATGATGATGATGATGATGATGAGATGATGATGATGGTGTCCCGATGAAGATGATGATGATGTTGATGATGGTGTCGCTGATGATGATAGTGTCCCGATGATGAGGATGATGATGCTCATGATGATTATGTTGATGATGATGATGATGATGGTGTCCCGATGATGGTGATGATGATGATCCGATGATGTTGGTGATGATGATGTTGATGGAAATGGTGTCCCGGCGATAATGATGTTGATGATGATGTTGATGATGATTAAGGTGTCCCGATGATGATGCTGATGATGATGATGGTGATGATGATGATGGTGATGCTGATGGTATCTCGATGATGATAATAACAATGATGACGATGTTGATGATGTTGCTCATGATGATGATGGTGCCCCAATGATGATGTTGTTGCTGATGATAATGTCGATGATGATGATGCGATGATCATGATGATGGTGTCCCGAGGATGATGACGATGTTGATGTTAATGTTGATGGTGAGGACGATGGTGATCATGCTGGTGTCCCGATTATGATGATTATTATGATGATGCTGGTGATGATGACGATGACTGTGTCTCGATGATGATGATGTTGATGATGAGATGATGATGGTGATGGTGATGAGGATGGTGATGATGATGCTGTCCCGATAATGATGCTGACGTCGATGATGATGTTTATGATGATGATGATGATGATGATGATGATGATGATGACGGTGCCCTCATGATGGTGACGATGTTGGTGATGATGTTGATGTTGATGATGTTGATGATGATGATGACGTTGATTGTCAGAGCGATTGTGATATCGATGGTGAGATCAATATTGAGACCGCATGTGAGATCGATTGTGTGATCGATTGTGAGATCGATTGTGAGATCAATTGTGAGATCGATCGATTGAGATAGATCGAGTGAGATCGATTGTGAGATCGATCGAGTGAGATCGATCGAGCGAGACCGATAGTGATATCGATACTGAGATCGATAGTGAGACCGATCGAGTGAGACATCTGGTTCCCCCCCCCGAACCTCCTTATCACCCGAAGGGTGGTCGTATAAGTATCCAAAACATGATCCCCAGAAAATTGTTTTGACAAGATCTGGAGACTCCTCCTGTAGAGGGACAGGCCCGACAGAAGGTCAGCAGTGACGCGCCGCCGTTGGGAGTTGGGGAGCCCGCCTCCTGCGCGTGCCTCTCCGCCGTCGTTGAGCAGAGCAGCGCGCAGGCGTGCGAGGAGGAGGAGGGGGGCGGGGGGCAGTGAGAAGGAGAGAAGGCCTTCTCTCCGAAGGCTGCGGGGCTTCTCAGAAGCCCTCGCGCCCTCTGAGAGGCTTTTGTCTTCTGTCTCCAGGGAGGGCTTTTAGAGAACTTCTCGGGAGGCCGGGGGGCTTCCGAGCCTTCTGCGAAGGCCCGCCCCTTCTCGCTTCTTTTGGGTCGGGCATGTCCCCCTATACAGGCAGATTATTTGGACGAGTACTCAGAACATTCCAAGACAAAATCTTCAGACATACGAACACATCAAAACCAAAAGCTTCAGACATAGTCAAAATATAGTCGAAACATCGTCCCCATATGATGTTTTGGACCGAAAATCAAAAACATCCGAACCAAAATCTTCAGACATGGTCAAACTATCGTCGAAACGTCGTCCCCATACGAAGTCTTGGACCGACATGCAAACATATCGGAACCAAACTCTTCAGGACAAGTCAAAGACGTAGTCCACACATCGTCCCCAGACCGTGTCCGGACTACTTTGGCGTCTGGAGGAGGAGGAGGAGGAGGAGGAGGAGGAGGAGGAGGAGGAGGAGGAGGAGGGGCGCGCCCCACTGAGCACCTCCCCCCCATCGCTCGCCGCCGGCCCCTGCTCCGCGGGCCTGCGCTCCGCCGGGCACCCTCGCGCGCGGGCGAGCCGCCCTCCCGAGTGGGGTCGACCCCGCCGCCACCTCCCCCCCCGCTTCCCGCCTCGAGTTGGGATGTTCCCACCGACGTTAGCCTCGACGACCAGGGAGAATTTCGAGCACCAGGGAAGTGCCGAAACTGCACGGCATTCACATGTCGGGCCCTGGGAGGCGATACTAGTTCGACACTGTCTCGATACTGTTCGGGGTGCTCGAAATTATTTCTGGGATGGGGTCCCTAAGTACGATGGGAGCACCGTAGCCCCCGAGGCCTCCCGGATGGGATCGGAGCAGAGGGGGTCGGAGGATCGCCACATTATTAACTTTCAGTCCCTGGGGGCCCTCACCGGGCCTTGCGCAGGAGCGTCGAGGAACGGCCCACGATCCCGATAATAGTTCCGTGGACTGGACGGGGACCTCCCAGGGTCGGCGGTGTGAAGTTCTAACGTCGGGGATCTGGGAATCTGGCCGCCCTGATGGGATCGAAGCACATGGGGTCGGGGGATCGCGCCGCATCGCCGGTGCATCGGCGATGCGGCTCGATGCTGAGCCCGATTTTCTCCACGCCAGCGTCGCCGATGCACCGACAGTGCATCGCCGATGCATCGCCGATGCATTGCCGAAGCATCGCCGATACAACGCAGATGCATCGCAGATGTATCGGCGATGCGGCGCGACCCCCCGACCCATCTACTCCGACCCCATCTAGGAGGCCTCTATCCCTGCGACTGCACGTAAGGGTGACCACTAACTGGAGTGAGCTCTGGTGCGGGCCCACCGGGGCCCCCCGATCGCCGAAGGCGATGGCCCCTTGCGGCTCCCCGAAAGCCGCGTGCCAACGGCCACTTCTTGCCCAGGGTCACTCTTGCGCGTAGTCGATCCCTGCACAATCGACCGGACAGGCGGCGTGTTTCAGTGTCAGCTCCGGAAGGGCCGCCATGGGCACGCCAGGAGCAGGGACGAAGGTCGACAGCAGCTCCTGCCTGTTCAGAACATGGCTCGCTGTCGGCGGCGCTGCGGGCGTGGTCGGGTCGAGACAGGGAGGCGCCTGCCCAGCCGTAGTTCCTATCGAAGCTGGGCCACAGCCGCTGTCGGACATGTTGCTCAGTTTCTCTGGGCCCAGTTCGGGCATGCAAGCTGGCGCTGCTTGCACCAGGAGGCCCCTTCGGAAGAAGGGAATGCATATATCAGACCCGCCTCGCCTGCAGAGTCGTATGGGCGTGCCTGGGAGATGGGGGCTGGCTTGGTTCGGGCCGTTGTCGACTGCCGAATGCCTCGGAGATCATTGTTGGGTTCTATCGGGTGATTACCCTTGGATGCAAAGAATTTGATCGGCGTGGACTCGTCCAGTTCCATGTCTTCTCTCTCTTTCTATCCGCCATTGTGGCAGCCCACAGTTTTCAGTGGATGTTGATCGGTTCAATGTAGACGACGACAATGATGATGGTAATGATGTTAATGATGATGTTGCTGCTGGTGATGATGATGATGATGATGCTAATGATCATGATTATGCTGGTGGTGGTGATGATGATGATGCTGATGCTGCTGCTGATGATGATGATGACGATGATGATGATGATTTCTAGTCGTCGTTCATTGCGCACAGCGTTCAGTTTGCAGTGTTTGGCGTGGCTCACTCGAGACCGAGCCTTCCGCAGTTGAGCGGCTGTGCGCGCAGGCCCCTGAGTTGCACAGATGGTGGCCTTCAAGGGAGCTGCAAAAGACCAAGGGCAGCACTCATTAGGAGAGAAGATACTTCGCTTACACGCGCTCGAGTAGCAGCGCAGCTCGTTGTCCATATCTGGCGGCCTGCAACATACGGCCTCCCAACTCTCCGATCCACGATGCTCCAGAGTTAGTGACTGCTGCCATGCTTACGGCTCCTACTGGCACTGCCCCTCCAGTAAAGCAAGGGACCAACATGGAATCAACATTCTCCACAACAAAGTCGCGTGCCGTGTTGTACATCTCCCACATTCCATTTGCATGCCCGTAGCCATACCCAAGATAGAACCCAATGCCAAGAGAAGAACAAAGCTGAGCGCTCCCGCAACGAAGACGACAACGTGGACAGCATGCCCCTCTTGTGCAAGCACAATTCAGGCCGTATTCTTGACCACGTCGCAGAGCGTGTCCATCCTTGACCACCTCGCAGAGCGTGTCGATCCGCTTCTCCTTGTGCCTCGGCGGGCCACATCGTGGCCAGCTTCCTCAATGATGCGGTCCACGCCCTCGGGGACCCTCACGTTCGACCTCTTCTTGTGAATCCTCTCCTTGGAGCTCCCCCTTTCCGCTCTCCAGCTTGAAGACGTGGCCGCACTCTGAGACGATGCAGCCACGCTGGGCAGCTGTGCGCACAGCAGGCGAGGTGGCCACTGACGGCGGCCCTGGCGGGAGAAAGGGTGCGGTGTGGCCGGCCCCTGCCGCAGCCGCTGGCGCCCGAGGGGCCACTCTCCGCAACCGCTGGGGTAGCAGCCCGGACCGCGTTGGCGTCGATGGCGATCGCGTCTGTGTCTGTGGGAAGAAACACACACACACACACTGTGGGAAAAAAGCACTGCGGGAAAAAACACACTGTGGGAAAAAAACAGGCTGTGGAAAAAAAACAGTCTGTGTGTGTTTTTGTTTTTCCCCCACGGTGTGTTTTTTCCCACAGACTGTGTTTTTTTCCCACAGCGTGTCTTTCCCACAGATTCAAACAAGAGAAAACAGCCACAAACAGAAAACGTTTGGCGCTCTGCGCGGATTTCTTGGGTCCGCGCCGGGCCCTCCAGCGCCGCCCCTGGCGCGATCCGCGCATTAGGCATGCGGGTCCAGCACAGATCCAAGATGCCCGCGTGGAGCGCCAATAGTTTCTGTGTATGGCGTTCTTCTTCTTTTTCTTATTAGTATTATTCTTATTATTCGTATTCTTCTTCTTCTTCTTGTAATGACCTTGCCCTGCCGCTCGTACGCCGTGGTGCGGGCAGCCCTGTTCCGGCCTCCGCGAATGTTTCAAAGCGCTTGCTATGTCTCAAGAGAGCCCGCTCCGAAACTTGGATCCCGTCCGCCGTATCCTGAACTGCTCGAGCTTCTCGGACGAGGCTTCCTCCTCTTTACAGCTGGGTCGATCACGATCACGATCGCGGTCGGCCTGCGGGGCCTGCCGTGTCGGCGGCCACGCATTTCTCCCAAGAGGCTATTTCTGACCACGGCCGCCATGCGATTTCTCCCATCTCTGGTTGTTTCTGGCTGCGCTGCAAAGACCTCACAGACCTTCGAGCCTGAGCAATTGCAGTATGGATGGGGGATAGCATGAGCTAGCGAGCAAACATATGAGGTGGGGTACTGCGGCCTTAATTGTTCCAAGAGGAGTTCTATAATCACGACAAGCTGCAGTCCACGAGCCAGCTCCAATGAGGAACACCTAGAGGGTCTCCCCAGCAACTGGCCTCGAAGTCTTGCAGGAGGCATGGGCGACTGATCAAGCCATTGGAGCAGATTGCTCGTCTGCTTGGATCCATGGCCAAACATCCAAGCACGATCCAGGTTCTTGAACATTCAACCGATATTCTGGGCGAATGCGTGCAATTCGAGGTCAATCCACTCACAAATACTTGGCTCGTCAAAAGATTGCAACTGCTCTCGAACACGATTGCTAAGAGCTCATCACACATCGAGGCGAGCAGGAACTTGACACAGCCCGCGCAGCAAGTTCCCTAAACACCGATGATGTCAACGACGTATCGAAGCCATAAGTTCGCCCGAAGGAACTGCCCTTGGGGAAGATCAGCAGGAGCACCTGATAATGCGTTCGAAATAACAACAGCGAGCTGCTGTTTTCGGTGCGGCCCCAAGCACTACTGACATGCGGCTTCCACCGACGCGGTATAGGATGGTGCCGGCATCGCCCCGTGACCAGGACCGAAGATCACATCATGATGGCGTCTTTAGCGATCAGTTCGAAATATTATAGGACACTTTCGTGGAAGTGATTGGTAACGGAGCTCTCTGAGTTAGACGCTTGGATCTATTATGCTGAAAGACTTGCGACGCCCACAGAGAGTGTAGCTGCTGTCCAAGGTGATGAGGTAAAAGGGCGGTTGCAATACGTAACTCGCTCAGGACGTGAAGTTTGTCCAGCTCGCTTCTCAGCTTGCCACTAATCTTCATCTGCGTGGTTACAGATTGGATTCACGGACTTGATGATGATCTTGTCCACGGCGTATGCCCGAGCTTCAGACCCCGATGTGACAGTAGAAACTAGTAAGAACGAACCCGTGCCCTCCTTGAGGGTGCCATACCTGGCCAGGGGCCCATCTCGGGACGGCAGTAACAGCAAGCCAGTCAAGGAAACCATCGCTCGAGCTGCCGATCCGCGCCGCACGCCCGAGGCACGCACGAGGTTGCCTCTGCGAGTGCAGCAGCCCGTGTGAGGACCCATGAGGTACGCTGCGACTTCCGAGCTGTCGATGGTCAGTATCCAGGGCGCGACCCGCGAGCATTCCACTGACGGATGCACGACTGTGTCACCCTGGTACCTGGACGAGAACACGCACCATTGCTGCCGAAATCACCGTGGGTCGTGGGCAGCACTGTGAGCCCGTCGGAGCCGACACGGCCCAGACGCAACCAAGAGTAGACATGCAGTGTTTGCTTCGGCCCGTGCGCGCAGCCGCACATCGACAGATGCCTCCAAAGCTGCCATTCCAAGGCTCGCAAGATCCCCCGCTCGGATGCACAAATCGCCACATGAAGCGATCTCGGGCAGGCGCGGCACCGATGGTTTTTGTTGTGAGGACCGAGCCCAGCCGTTGAAGAGAGTCAGGGAGGTTTCGTGACAGTGTCGTGCCCGACGCCCGCGGCCGGCGTCCTTCTCAAGCTGTGGAGGGATCGGAGCAGGACGCGTCCCGTGCTCTGGCGGGATGAGCACAGCATGCCCGGGTGGCGGCCATCGGTGACGCGCGGACACGTGCCGTACGTGCTGTATGTACGCTGCCACGGTACCGAACGACTGGACGGCTGGAAGACTGGAGTTCTCCACGGATTGTATGTACACTGCCACGGTACCGAAATACTGGTCGACTGGAAGAGGGGAGTTCTCCACGGACCGTGGCTGCTGGCCGCTTCACCCTGGAACTCGTCATGACTGCTGGTCGGAGTTGCTATTGCGCACAGCGTTCAGTTTGCAGTGTTCGGCATGGCCCACGCGAGACCGAACTTTACGCGGCTGAGCGTCTCTGCCCGCTCAGGCTCTTGAGCCCAGAGGAAATTACGTAGATGATGTTGGTGATGATTATGATGGTGATTATGATGATGTTGAGTATGAGTATGATGATAATGGTGCCGATGAGGGAATCAAGGTGGTTGGATGACAAGGACCGTTTTTTGAGAGCATGATGAGTACGAGGATGATGGGATGATGAGTATGAGAGTTAGAGACGTCCTCCTCCTCCTCCTCCTCCTCCTCCTCCTCCCCTACT